AGCAGAGCAGCTGGAGCCGGGAAGGAGAAGTGCGCGGCTGGGGTCCGGAGGCACGGGGGCTGCCCGAAGCCGGTAGCGCTGGCTCGGGCAGCTTGGCTCTTAAACAGAGCCAAAGTCTGAGTCAGGGGAGGAGCAGAACAGCCGCGGGAGAGGAAGTGCCCGGCCGGTATTTTTCCCGGACATGTTCAGCTTTTTGGCAATTCCCCCCGGACGGGAAAAACCGGACGTATGGTAACCCTAGTACTGTTAGGCTCTGGAAGGCCAGGGAAATCCCCAGGAACTTCAGAATGCCAGCGGAGAAGGCCGTCAGCAACAGAGTGAGCCAGTCAGAAAGTCTGAGCTGAGGGAGGGGGACTGGGTGACACACAGAGTGAGTGCAGAACATTCATGGTGTCGGCCTAGCAGCGAGGGCAGGAAATAAAGTGAGATGTCACTGGGAAAAATGCATCGGGGGAAAGAATCCCAGGGCCAGAGGCTCAATGAGAGGTGGAAGCCAGAAGAGCAGTAATGTCAGTCCTGGGGTGACAATTGACAGCAAATCAGCACTCTGGCTGCAGAAAAGATCACTGACATTTTAGCTGCATGTGCAAAGGAGTGGAGCAGCAACAAGGGCTCTCGCTACAGCTGCAGGTCTGGCTTGGAGGTGCACTGGAAGAGCTATATGGTAGGAGGGAGAGGGTCAGGAACAGCAGCTGCTGTGGGGCAGTACTGAGGTACCTCGGCAGAATGGGGCCCAGGGCTGGAGTAGCAGGAGGCTGTAGGTCAGGACGCGAGTGCTCTGGCACAGCTGAGTGTGGATACGTGTGGATCTAGCCAGGCACCAAAACTCCTGAAGCTTGGAGAGTCGAAAAGAAGTGATGAAAGGGTTGGGAGGGCTTCAGAAAGCATAAGCACTAGAAGCAGCCCTGCTTCTTCCACATGGAGATGGACACATGCTTAACCTGAACTGGGACTTCTCACGCAAATATAGGCCACGGCTGCCAAAACAAACTGATCTGAAAGGAAAACAACTAGTGCGTGTCAGGCAATTCCTGCCTTCAGAGTCAGATGTGGAGTGTGTGTTCTGACGCCTCTCTCACTCAGAGAGCGGGGGGGTTGCAGAGCTCCGGGTTTCAAGGCATTCAGTGCTGGTTTGCTCAACTGGACAGAAAGAGAAACGAGTACATTCAGAACTCCCAGAAAAGGCTTCTGCAGGGACTCTTCCTTACCTTCCTCTTCTCATAATCCAAGAATTTGTTCTGAAAAATAAATGAAATTGTTAAGAGAGAGGTATTTAAATCAGGGGAACCACATTCTCTCGGTAATGTTAGGGCACTCCGTTCCCTCTTCCTCGACTGAGGCTATGTCTACACTACCACTTAATCAGTATTACTTATGTCACTCAGGGGTGTGAATACTCTCCCCCTGAGTGGCATAAGTTATACTGATGTAAGTACTGGTATGGACAGCGCTATGTTGGCAGGAGAGCTTCTCCCACCAACACAGCTACTGCCGCTTGTTGGAGGTGGCTTAATTATAGAGCGGCTACCCTGGAGATTTTACAGCAGCGCCACTGTAAGCTCTCTAGGTAGACATGGCCTTGTCTACACTTGCTAGGTTGACATAGCTACAGTGTTTCACACTTGTGAACTCTGTAGCTATATCGACCTAACCCCTGGGGTAGATGCAGCTAGGTTAATGGCAGAATGCTTCTGTCCACCTAGCTACTGCCACTCGGGGGTGTGAATTACCTACAGACAGAAATACCCTTCGTCGCTGTAGGAGGAAGCAGCATAGCTGCTGCTGTAGCGCAGACATGACCTGACAATCTGTTAAATCTGATCAAAGAGGAAATGGTTCGACCCACAGTCACTATTCTGAGAGCATGCTGCCCCTGCCCAGCCACACTTGGGAGAAGTGCCCGTCCCAGCCAGGTGCCACTGAGATTCAGAACCTGGTGGAAAGCAGCATGCTCTGGGGCCACTGAAGATTCAGGGCCAAGCCTGTAAGGGGTGCCTCAGTTCCCTCTACCAGTGCCCGGGGCCAGATTCTCTTCTCACACCGGTGTAAGTCAGGAATAACTCCATGTCCGTGAAAGGAGCCACACTTGGTGCAAAGGAGGAAATTCAGACTCTGAGTCCCAGAAGAACCCAACTCCACGGAAGAGGTGGGCAAGGGCTGTGAACATGCAGAGCTCCCCATTGATAAACCGGGGATAACGAGGCTCATCCCCCTTTGTAAAGAGACTGGCAATCTAAGGATGCAGATATACCATGGGGAAGCTTAGCATTATTGTTACATTTGTACAGCTTGCAGCCGAGCAGTCCGTTTGTCACTTTCGGGTTCTCATGCCCTAGGACAAGGCTGCAATGTCGGGATTGCAGATAGGGGAAATACAAATACAAACAAATCTCTTCATTATTACAAAAAATAAACAAATATGAGGGTTTTACAGCTACCTACTTTCACGCAGTAGATTTCCCAGCTAAGCTCCCAGAGGGAACCTGTAACTGAAAAGATATCTAGCCCTACCCTAATAGCTAAAGCTGGTCCAATGAAAAAGCTCTTCTCCACACAGCCCTGTACAGGGCTGACCCTGCATGCCCCATACTACACCTCTACCCTGACATAACGCGACCCGATATAACACGAATTCTGATATAACGCGGTAAAGCAGCGCTCCAGGGGGGCGGGGCTGCGCACTCCGGTGGATCAAAGCAAGTTCGATATAACACGGTTTCACCCATAACACAGTAAGATTTTTTGGCTCCCGAGGACAGCGTTATATCGAGGTAGAGGTGTATGTCTAGAAATCTGGGTCCTCAGTTTGCAGTACTGTGGCCCATCTAAAGCCAATGCCAATTAGTTACCATGGAAAGGTTTGAGATGTTAGACAGAAGCTGATGGGCCAGATTCTGCTCTCATGTAAATCTGTTGACCACAAGCAGTGATTCTGGATTTACACGGTGGTAAACTGGGCCTAATTAGGCACGTTGGCCTCAAATGAGAAGCAAGCAGCGGGGCATGCTGGTTTGTATACAATACCCCAAGGGTTCAAATAAAACACAGTAGGGCTTACAGGAGAAGGATTCTTAACAGATCTCCCAGCACACTTGTCATGTGGCATCAGTAGCTAATCAGTATCAAACTGAGGCCTACAGAGGCTGACTCCACACTTCTTGGGTGGAGCTGCAGGACTTCCCATTCTAAAGCCTGACCTTTGAATGGGAAAGTCGCCTATATGGAGACTTAATGCTTCCATTGATGCCCCTTGGAGAAGACTCAGAATTTCCCAGTATTGCAATGCCAGGCCACACATCGCATTACACTCTGCGCGTCCCTCTAGCTATCCTGCCTCCTTGCTTTCAAGATGATGACCTAAAATGAAGGTAGTGCAGGAAAACTACTAACATGAATATGTATAATGTGCACTGGAAGCCAGTTGCATAGAGCACTTTGAACACCCTGAGCAGCAGGGCTGTGGTGATGGAGCTGTGTTCCAGGGCATCAGGGCTCCGCCACCAACTCACTCCATGACCTGAGTGACTCCGTTTAGCCAAAGGATGTAAGGATGATGCTTCCATACCTCCCAGGCGTGAGAGATCCTGAGGCTTAGTGAGCTAAGGGCATGGAAATCCACAGATGGAAGGTGCTGCAGAAGTGCAAAGTGCGAGTATTCTGCTCTGTATGTGGCTGAGATCCTCACCTGCCACTCACTCTCTTCCTCCATGTATTTATGCACACGTCTGTCGACACCATCCACTGATGTTTCTCCTCCATCACTTTCCAGCACCGGAAGAAGATACTGGGAGGGAGGGCAGTATTTGATTCCCGACTCTGGAAGACACCAGACACTAGGCAAATCACACAGAGCCACCCAGTTACACAACATGTGGGTCAGGGCTGGCCCAGGGAGACTCTGCTTCCAATCACGGTCTCTCACTCCCCACCCTGGTAGAGTGCCTGAAGGAGCTCGCTGATCCCTGGAGCCAGCTAGGAGCTGGCAATGGCAGGCTCTGAAGGAAGTGCTGCGGCTTTGTTCTCACCTAGGAAGATGGCAGCTGTGATGAATGGTCTCAAGCACTGGGGTGGGAGGAGCATTAGTGTCCCCTTCTCCTCAGGGACAAACAAGGCTACTCAGAGTCACCAGACCCACTTCGACTGGGCTGCATGGGGATCAGCCGAGGGGGAGATTGTGCCCAGTTGGAATTACAGTAATTTTACAGTTCTGACTCTTGCCCTGATCGCTCTTATCGCAGGGAGTTCAGCTGAAAGTCTGACTCCATTTAGCACCCCCCATATTGGCTATATAGCTTACATACACAAGCAGCACTTCCTCCCTCGCCCTCTTCTCCCCTAGCAGGCTTAAATGTTTGTGTTTTAATACCAGTCCCTTGTCCTTCTCCCAGGGCCTCCAAGCCCTTTGTGAAATAAACCTGACATCCTCCCATGAGGAAGAGAAGTCACATTGTCCCCATTTTATGGATGAGAAACAGAAGATGCAGAGACCGTGTCTTGTCCACAGTCACACAGTCAGTAACACAGCCTGGAATAGCAATCCGGACTCCATGCACCTAGATCTCTCCTGGGCTCAGGACAGACCACTACAGAGTCCTTGGGCAGGTGTAAAAAGGCAAAAGGGTTTTATCGGGCTGTCGCCCCTTTCAGGCGGGGCAATACCTGCAGCCACCTGCTTCTGCAACTGCAGGCGAGTCATCAGTAGCAAATCAGAACAGTCCTGCATCGGGCCCACCTTTCCCCGGGAAGGGTCTGGCAGCCAGCTGTCTTTCAAGCAGTCTGCAGCCCCAGTCAGGCGCCTCTTTCAGAGTGAGAGCCTATTGCAGGTGGAGTGGGGCAGGGCTGACTGAGCCCACAGCAGCTCATTACCCTTTCCTCGCCAGTGTGGGGTCAGCATATGCCATCCCATTCCCACGCCTATGCTTTAACCACAAGACCAACCTTGCCCCTTTCAGAAATTGGTCATTGTTAGGATATAGATATTCAGGCCCGTCTGTAAAGGCCTATACTTTAAGAATTTAGGTGTATTCTTATCATTTAGCTAGTTATAGAGGTATAAAAGAAAGAATCAAAATCACTTTCTGTATGTGTAAGAGCCTTCTCTCACTGTAACAGTCTGAGGCCTGGTTCTTAGGCTAAGGCCTTCGGCTAAGCAGCAGAAGCAGCCATAAACTGGGAAGTGTACGGTCACATCCTCACATTCCAAACTAGTCACATGGAAATAAGGTGCTATTGGGCTGTTAGGAATACAATCGTGTTCTGATTCCTATCACCTCCAGAGAAAGGGAAGAGCCTAGAAGATATAAAAGGAAACTTAGGTTGATAGTTTTCTGTCTGGTAAGAACTCACTTATCAATAGACACAGCTGGAAAATGCTTATGTCTGTATAGATGTAGTTGTGAAATCCTCCCTTCTGTATTGTTTTGTATGTTTATTTGCATGGTCTCTGTCTGGTTCTGTAATTGTTTCTGTCTGCTGTATAATTAATTTTGCTGGGTGTAAACTAATTAAGATAGTGGGATATAATTGGTTAGCTAATCATGTTACAATATGTTAGGATTTGTTAGGTAAATTTTAGTAGAATGATTGGTTAAGGTATAGCTAAAAATATTACTATATCAATTAGGGGCAAACAGGAAGTAAGTTGGAATTCGAAAATAAGGAAAAAGGAACTTGGATTTAAGCTTGCTGGAAGTTCACCCCAATAAACATCGAATTGTTTGCACCTTCGGACTTTGGGTATTGTTGCTCTCTGTTCATGCGAGAAGGACCAGCGAAGTGTGAGAGTGAAGGAATAAGCTCTCTGAGAGTGAAGGAATAAGCTCTCTAACAGTCATCAATTTCAAAAAGCCAGTAAGAAGTCAATACCCAGCCCGTAGCTCATACTCTGGCTGTCTGCCAGCTACGGCTTACATGCTGTCTAATGTATCTGCCACATGAGCAAAAACACCAATCAAGAGCTCCCTGAGGTACCAGGTACAGCTCATGAAGTACCAACTGCCTTTGGAACATCACGCCTTCACAGACACATTCCTGGAACTCGGGGCAAGACCCGATTGGTATTTAGCTGCAGGTACGCTGTGCAGCAGACCCTTGACCTTTTACCCCCATCTACAGGCTGCTCCCCTTGCTTACCTTTGCACAGGAACTGCTGGACAGACTCTGTGCCAGCACTGCAAACATCATATGGCGGGTAGGTCATGGACGAAGCATCCAGCGTCAGAATCTCCAAAACAAAGAGCACACAGAGCTCCAGCTTTCATTCACAATCTAACAACCCAGACAGAGTCCCACTGGCTCAAAGCCAGGGGGTCAAAGCAGCAGAAAAGGACAGTTTCACCCTAGAGATTGATCTGCCAGACTTTCATTGCACCTCACCATAACTGAATGGCAAAATGCTTCTGCACTAGCAGGCATCACCCGCAGCCAGCGTGATCTCACATGCACTGTGCATAGAGGATGCCATTCTGTAGAGAAAAAATGGAATCATCCGCACAGTAGGGTGTGTTCCAGCTCCGCTGCAACTGTGTTTGTCACCAGGGACAAGTAACTGAGTCACCATATCCGGGGTCCTCTCACTGCCTCGGGGACCCTTGCAGTTGCCTGGATTATGGGTACCTAAAGCTGCCATTTGTATGTAGGGGTTGCATACCTCCAGCGTGCGGATGTGAGCCAGCGCCTGGGGCAATTCCTGCAGCAGGTTCTCACTGACATCAAGGGTGCGCAAGCTGCGCAGGTCACCCAGGGTAGAAGGCAGTTCCTTCAGCTTATTACCTAGGGAGAAAAGGGACACTGATTAGTCCACCCCCAAAATCGACCCTCCAGAGAATTCACTCCTTTGAATTGCAAGCCCCTCAGCTGCCAGCTAGTTTGGTATTTTCAATACACTGACTTGAGATTACACTAGTCTGTGAATAAAAATCACTTTGTCCCTACATTATGTACCATACATGAGGGGATCTCAAAACTTGGTGCAAGCTCAGCACATTTTAACACAGAGACCAATGTAGATGCCTCCCTCATAGTCAAGATCGCTCGCCAGCAATGCCACATAACATCCCTGAGGTCACTACAGCAGTTGCTTCCCTGGGAAGGTCACAGTGGGACACAGCCAGCTGGAAACCAACACCATGTGACCAGCCAGCCCCTTACAAAAGATATAGGGAAGGTGGTCCCTGGCCTAAGAGGTTGACTAGCTACAATCCAGAACAAAAATGTACCAGGTTACGGACTCAGTGGATTGAGTGTGAGGGGCTTTGCGGAGAGGCAGGGTTTGACCCCTAAGCAGAGGGAAGGGACTCCAGGCTTAAGGGGCAACATGAAAGGAACAAAAGTGAAAGTGGGAGAAAAACGCACAAAGGGAATTCAGGAGGCAGGAGGGGAGCTGGAGGAAGGGGTGGAGCTGGTCAGGGCCTGGCAGGGGAGGAGTAGAACAGGGCACTGGAAGGGAGTGGAAGACAATTGAGGGATTCCAAGAGGAGAAGTGCCCAGGGCTGAGCAGCTAGGAGAGAGGGATTTTGGCAGCAGTGTCCAGATTGGAGAGGAGCCAGGTGGGGTGCGGGGGGCAGGGCAGTGAGAATGTCACCGTATGGATAAGAGCAGGGGAGAGGCTGGGGCATAGAGACTGTGGACAGCCACAAATGACAAGACTTGCCAACAGCCATGATGGGGGCGAGGAGCCTAATGTGACAGCGAGGGCACATGGGGAACAGATGGGGAGGAAGCCAGGAGCAGGCACAAATGCCCCCAGCCCCTGACAGAGGTATTAACATTTAAAGGGACAGTACACATAGAAAAGTTAGCCTTTCCAAACAGCTAAACTGCTGTTCTTGTCATTTGAGTGAAAACAGCTCTGCCAGCTACCTAGTTCAGAGTGCGACCTAGTCTTTGAACTTGTGGGACCTCTTGGTTCCAGACTGTTTATTAAACTACACAAACTGTACACACACTCTGGTATGGTTAATGCTTTGTTAGATGCCTTAGCTGGCCACAGCCAGCAAGGTCATCAGGGCCTATCCTGACAGCCCCAGCCTGAGGCTTACCAAATCAGCTATTCCTAAGCACTACAATGTGCTGGGCAGTTCAGCACGCACAGAACCTCCTTCCTTAGTCACATTAGGATCTGTGGGCAGCGATTGATCCAGCAGGGGTCGATTTATCGCGTCTAGAAGTGATAAATCGACCGCTGAGCGCTCTCCCGTCGACTCCGGTACTCCACCAGAACGAGAAGCACAAGCGGAGTCGATAGGAGAGCGTCAGCTGTCAACTTACCGCAGTGAAGACACCACGGTAAGTAGATCTAAGTACGTCGACTGTGGCCAAAGCAGAGATACAGGCCTGGCGAATCCAGGAGGATTATTTGGCTGCTGAGTTCTGGTGGGCCTACCTTAAAGCTTGGCTAGCGCAAGCTATTTCCAGGCAGCTACTTCTGCTTGTTACAACACCTGACCTACCCCTCTGCTGCTGCCCACCTCTCTCATTACCTTGCTGCTATACATAGTGTCAGAGACAGGTTTTCTGAGAGATTTCTATATTTATAGCCCCTCACTTCTCTTGTTGCCAGAAATTAGTCTCACAGCACAGAGTCTAGCTCTTCCCATCCCCCACAACACCACACCAAAAGCATTGTCACAACTAAACTAAAATGGGGGTATTTCAATAGCCTACAGAAGATCTGTCAATCCTACCCTTTCTACCAGCCTAGCAGAAAACTGAACCAACCTAGCGCCTGGTTCAGAGCAGGGGGATTTCATAGGAGATCACGGAGCAAGAGGTGCATCAGCGTGTTTGAGAAACAACCCCAGCACTCAAATATTTAAGAGTCATCTTCTGTTTGCCTGACTTCTCCTGTCATGTCCATCATCTGTATTAAGAGTCGCTACATGCGCTCCCAAAACATAGCACTAAGGCCTGGTCTACACTACTACTTTAATTCGGATTTAGCAGCGTTAAATCGAATTAACCCTGCACCCGTCCACACAACGAAGCCATTTAATTAGAAATAAAGGGCTCTTTAAATCGATTTCTGTACTCCACCCCGACGAGCGGAGTAGCGCCAAAATCGATTTTATCATTTCGAATTAGGGTTAGTGTGGCCGCAATTCGATGGTATTGGCCTCCGGGAGCTATCCCACAGTGCACCATTGTGACCGCTCTGGACAGCAATCTGAACTCGGATGCACTGGCCAGGTAGACAGGAAAAGCCCCGCGAACATTTGAATTTCATTTCCTGTTTGCCCAGTGTGGAGAGCACAGGTGACCACAGATAGCTCTTCAGCACAGGAAACCATGCAGGCCGATAATTGAAAAAGAGCACCAGCATGGACCGTACGGGAGGTACTGGATCTGATCGCTATATGGGGAGAGGATTCAGTGCTAGCAGAACTTTGTTCAAAAAGACGAAATGCAAAAACTTTTGAAAAAATCTCCAAGGGCATGATGGAGAGAGGCCACAATAGGGACTCAAATCAGTGCCGCGTGAAAGTCAAGGAGCTCAGACAAGCCTATCAAAAAACAAAGGAGGCAAATGGTCGCTCCGGGTCAGAGCCGCGGACATGCCGCTTCTACGACGAGCTGCATGCAGTTCTAGGGGGGGCCGCCACCACTACCCCACCTCTGACCGTGGATTCTGAGGCGGGGATAATCTCATCAGCTACACCTGAGGATTCTGCGGACGGGGAAGAGGAGGAGGAGGAGGAGGAGGAGGAG